GACACTCTTGCGGGACACTGTTGCGCGACACTCTTGTGGGACACTCCTGTGGGACACTCATTTGGGACACTCTTGCAGGACACTCTTGTGGGACACTCTTAAGGGACACTCTTGTGAGACACTCTTGCGGGACACTGTTGCGGGACACTCTTGTGGGACACTCCTGTGGGACACTCATTTGGGACACTCTTGCGGGACACTCTTGTGGGACACTCTTGTAGGACACTCTTGTAGGACACTCCTGTGGGACACTCTTGTGAGACACTCTTGCGGGACACTGTTGCGGGACACTCTTGTAGGAAACTCTTGTGGGACACTCTTGTAGGGCGCTCTTGTGGGACACTCTTGTGGTGGGACACTCTTGTGGGACACTCCTGTGGGACACTCTTGTGGGACACTCTTGTAGGACACTCTTGTGGGACATGCGGGACACTCTTGTGGGACACTCTTGTGGGGCACTCATACGGGACACTCTTGTGGGACACTCTTGTGGGACACTCTTGTAGGACACTCTTGTGGGACACTCTTGTAGGAAACTCTTGTGGGATACTCTTGTAGGACACTCTTGTGCCTGTAGGGCACACTCTTCGTACGAGACTTCCTCCAAAAGTCACGCTGCGAGGCTGCAAGACGAGCTTTTCGTACGAGACGTCCTCCAAAAGTCACGCGTCAAGTCTCAAAAACGAGCGTTTCGTACGAGACTGCCTCCAAAAGTCACACGTCAAGTCTCCAAAACGAGCGTTTTGTACGAGACTTCCTCCAAAAGTCACATGTCAAAGTCTGCAAAACGAACGTTTCGCACGAGACTTCCTCCAAAAGTCCAGCGGAAACACCCATCGGAGCATACACATCACGCAGCCCTGCCAAGCAGTTTCGCGATTCCAAACGACACCCGCTCACACGCCAATCCCAATGTGACAGCGACATTCACCTCTACCACAACTCACAACCTCCCGATTCCCTGCGCCTGCCACGAATCTTTCCGCGTCCACACGTCTAACGCGCACAAAGTACTGCGCCTGCCACGAAATGTCACCTCCGTCACACCTCGCAACCTCACGATTCCCTGCGCCTGCCACGAGAATCGCACTTCCACACCTCAAAAGCCGCACAAAGCACTGCGCCTGCCACGAAAAGTGACAATATCGTCTCATGTGAGCTTCAACAAAATTTGCACCACACCACACGTTTGGAATGATTTCGACCCGTTCTGAGCACACTCCCATCCACAAAAATCGGCATTTCAGCTGAGACTTGTGCCGAAAACAAAGCTTCGATGCCACACCCTGAAACGCAAATCCCAATGGCACAGCCACATCCAACACCCCAAAAACACGACTCTCCAAACGCTAATCCCAATGGAACTGCGCAGCAATCTGCAGATCTCACAAAACGCTGCGCCTGTGCAGCGAAACGCATGTGGCTTCTTGCGCGGCATGTCATTTTCATGCAAATCACAATGGACTAGCGGCGCAAACTGACACGTGACACATCCATGAAAAGTCACTTGCAAAAACTTCCCCCAATGGCAGCGCCTTAGCGCTCTACTGCGGACGGTTGCGGACGGTGGCGAACGGTTGCGAACGGTTGCGGACGGTTGCGAACATAGAAGCAACGGGTCGCGAACAAGGCTCCACCCCCAGACCCCCAAGAGTTAAACGAGAACCCTTCGGTACGCATTCGGGAAAAAGAAAGATAGAAAGATAGATAGATCGAGAGATAGAGAGATAGATCGATAGACAAACAGATAGATAAATAGATATAGACATGGCAGATAGATATAGACAGACAAATGGATAGGTAGACAGATTTGCATTGGAATAGTGTAGGTGTCAGATAAATTTCTGCTTTTCACAACAGTTTGGTGCAGTTGGCAGAAAAGCAAGGAGAAAGATTTTGTGGAAGACGCGGGTGGCGGAGATGAAGTGCAGATTTCGTGGCGCGGGGGGGGGGTTGGGGGGGGGCGCAGCGCACCCCCCAGCAGCACACCAGATCCAAAGGTGAGTAGCTCGTGCTTGCGTGCTTGCTTGCTTGGTTGCTTGCTTGCTTGCTTCCTTCCTTCCTTGCTTCCTTGCTTCCTTGCTTCCTTGCTTCCTTCCTTCCTTCCTTCCTTGTTTGGTTTCTTCTCTGCAAAGCGAATAAAAGAAAAAACACAAGCAAAAAGAGAAAGGAGAACAGCTGCGAAAGAGGAAGAAAGAAAGAAAAAAAAAGATAGATATATAGATAGATAGATAGATCGAGAGATAGATAAATAGATCGATAGACAAACAAACAGATAGATCTAGACAGATATAGACAAATAATAGATGGATAAGCCACGAAAGCCACGAAAGCCAAAAGCCACAGAAGCCACGAAAGCCAAAAGCCACAGAAGCCACGAAAGCACAAAAACAAAAGCCAGAAGCCACAGAAGCCAGAAGCCAGAAGCCACGAAAAACACAAAAAGATCCGTTAAAGAAAAGCTAAATTAAATGGCCCTCCTTGGGGATCTCCCAAAATACACACCCATATTCCACAAGCAAGCAAAGCACCTCGGAAAATTGGTGCAAGATGGTACAAGTACCTGTCCCAAACACTTCATGGGACTGCCATATACCGATCAGTTGACCCCCCATTGGCAGTCGCACGAAGTGTCTGGGTGTCTTTGTTTTGGTCATGTCTCATTTTTCTAAGGTACGAACCAAGAAACGACATCCATGGTCCCGGCGTTGCCGCTCACGCCCAGCGAGCCTCCGCCGCTGCTGCCGGGCCTGGCATCTAGGCCGCGCCCGCGAGCGTGGTCCGCTTTTCTAAACGGGCAGGGAAAAGCCTCTGGTAACATCTAGAAGGTAAGCAAAGCCAGATCCCTACACGTCCGGCCCAGTAGACCCTGGTATTACAAAATACCTTCTTGAGTAGTGTTGTTGCATGACGCCAGGTCTGCCAGACCTGTAGGGGAAAGGTATGGACTGCCCATGACTGCACCAGCAAGTGTAGCCAGCAAGAAATAGAGACTTTCCTAGCTCTTCAAAGTGACCTTTTGATAACCTGGTTGGTTCGGTCACTTAAGCCTCCTAAGATGGAACCTTCAAAAGGTCACGAACTGAAGAAGCTGGTTGATGAGATGTCCTTGGGGTACTGTTGGCACCGGTGTTTGACCCTAAAACCCACCAATTCTCGCAAACGACACCTCCATCGCCCTCATGGGCTGCACGTTTTCTATGCGATTTTTTCGGTATATCTCGATTCTATGCTGCGGCTGCGCAGTTGTTTAAAAGGGAGTATGAAAAGAACAACGCAAAAAGCCAAGAAGCTTCGCGCATTCTCGTATAGACAAAAATTGGAAACCCCCATAAGCTGGAACATTGGAGTTCAGCTCGATCGAGTTCCCTCAGGGCCAATGACAACATCGTTCGGTTTCGTCACCCGGCCGGTTTTGGCAGGTTTCGTCGGCCCGGCCGCCTGGGCGGCAGTTTTTGGGGTCACCCTGCAGTCGGCCACGCGTCTTCCAAGTGACTTACTACAAGACCAAACGACTTATTGTAGCCCCCGGTACCCAATGTCGGAGTCAATCACTCGAACTGCTTCTGACGGTCAACACCACCCATTCAAAAACCCAAATACTCTATGCAACGGAAGCCCTCCCAACACCAGGCCGTGGGGAACGCCGGTCAGCCGTACGGGTACCACGGGGTGGTACCGAGCTCAGAGAACGCACGAGCACCGAGCTCAGCCGTACGTACCTTGTGGTTCAACGCCAAGGTCGGCCGCACCTTAGGTCTCCTCGGGGTGACGTAGACGTCGCAGCGGAGTGGTAGCAGCAGTGGTAGCAGTGGAGACGGGGCTTCGGCAAGAAACAGGACAGGAGGTCGTTTTGAGATGGCGAACTTCGGGTATTCCGAACATTTGCCAAAGCTGAGGCACAAGATTGGCATGTTCATCATGTTCTGAACTTGTAGAGTGAACAACTGGGAGGTGTTCATACAGTTTCTGCGCACAACCTTGTGGAGCTTCCCCATGTTCCCATAGACAAATATGAACAGCGAACTTGTGCGAGAGGTATGTTCACCCAGCAATAGGCAAATGCACATTGTCTGACTTCATGAAAGCATTGACAAAGTACTTCAAAACCCCGCAATTAATCAAAGGTCTTGTGAGTCATATATCAAAATGATCTGAAATGAACAACAACGACTTGAACTGAAGAACCAAAAGCACCATTGGTCAAGTCATGACACTGTCCAAAAAAAACAACATCTATGGGGCGCAGGATATCGCAGGATTGGTCAAACGTGGTGCTGAAAAAATTCGACTGTGCGACTGTAAGGGAGCCTCTTGAGCCACTTGACCTGGTGACCAAGGATGAGGGTCGCTTGCATTGCCCCTCCTCTAGACGGCCGTTTATGGCCGTTTCTGGCCGGTCACCGGTCCTGGTCATGTTCTCCGAGCGTTTTCAGTCCCTTCCGGGGCGATGAGACAGATCGAACCCACCGACGTCGGGCCGGTGGACCCGACCGCTTGGTGACGTAGGACGTAAGACGGAAGAGCCCGGGTACGTCAGGGTCGAAGTCCGCATGCGAGCGTCCAGGTGTTGCTGAAGTGGTCTTCACATTTGATTACAAACTGGCTTCCTTAAGTCACCGGCGAATCAAGTTCTTGGTGTTGAATTCCATCCGTCAGAACTCAAAGTCAAATTGAATGCTGTCCCAAACGTTCTCGCCTGGATTTCAGCACTGTCTGCACTTGTCGTTACTGACGCCTGCGTCTTTCTGTCCAGCCCTTTCAACAGCCACCCGGCTTGAAAGTTCTTATCCGAACTAGTCAGACAGTGGTTTCGCGGAAGGTGATCTGTTTGTAAGCGGGATCTGCCAGGTATCCAACAATTCTTTGCATGATTGCCCGATACGACATGACCCTGTAAATAGTTGCTTGTTGGGGGTCCAAACTTCATGGCGTCATCCGATGTCTGCCAAGATGCGACCCAAGTTGGATCGAGAGGAGATCTTTGTCCAGTGGCCTTAGGAACTCCGAGCGTTGAACCATCTCGCGACTTTGGGTTCGAGGAGACACCCCAGTCTGTGTCATTTCATCAGGGACTACCATGGAAAAGCATAGGCTCCAGCGGCTGAGGGTCTTCCTCTTTTGCTACACACCCACCATGAGTGTTTCGCTGATTGGGCAAGTTGTGCAAACACTTGGGTGTCTGAATTCTGTTAAGGGCCTGATGTGCTGCAGTCAAAGCTTGTTCTAGATTCCGCTGGTAGCTCATGTCAAGTTACACTTACAAACTTGGCAGGTGTTGTTCAAGCTGTTTTCCACTCCAACCAAGCAAAATCATGTTATGTTTTGGAGCAGATTCACAGTTCTCCTCCAGCAAATAGGACATGTGACATGAGGCATTCCAGACTCTATCAACCAAAGGATAAGTCAATGCTCATTCCCGGAGTGAGTTTCCAGTATATGTGGAAGTGCTGAGGGAGCCCTTTCCAACATAGAACCCCCCAAAAAAAAGAACCACTGCACGTTGGAGTAGCTCTAGCTGTCAGTCTTGGGCAACTCCCGTGGTCGCTCTGCCAGCTTCGCCGTTGGCTCCGGCACCGAAGCGGCTCCGATGTTGCTCCCGACCCGGCGGGTCGACCCCTTTTCGCCGGGTCGAATTGACGGAGCAGAAGTGGCTTGGAAAGTCAAGGTGATCTTCATCACATCTCGAAGGGCTCAGCGGCTTTCGTTCTCTTGTTTACAGTCACTTAAAGGAACTCAAATACGGTATGTGGCCCATACCAGGGCCCCCGGGCTTGGGGGTGTCTAATCATAGCTCCTTAAAGGTTAAGGGGTAGCCATCAACCACCCCTTAGGGGGCCTTGGTATATGCTTTTGCTTCACGATGATGTGTCAAACGGCAGTGCAAAAAACTTCACTCACTTCGCAGAAGAAACAGCGGAGCTCGATACCTCGCCACAAAAAATTGACTCTGTCTGTGCAAATGATGGAGAATGGCATGTAAACTCAGTCCCCTTTGGCTTCATGGTATGCAGTGTTTTTGTTGTGCCATATGGCAACGATAAGCCAAAACTTTGACTACCGAACTGCACGTCTAATACATATATATATATATAGAGAGAGAGGAGTCAGGTTGTTTGCATCCCTTGCTTTGACATAGAATGCAAACCAGGTTGCTCCAGCTCCAGTGTCCTCAATCCAAACCCTCAATCCAACCCAAACCTGCTCTTGCAGATCTGCGCAAAAACTTTCAGTGCATCGAATTATTTGGGGGATCCGTTCACATGGGCTCAAGAAACATCAAAACACAGTGACCGTCTGTTCATCAAATCAAAAGGACTCGGTTTAATTTAGTTTGGGTGACAAAAAGGTAGATCCCTCATATTCCCTCATAGAATTGAACAGCGAGCCAGCACTTGGCTGTCCAAAACCGTCACGGCTACGTCTTCGCTTTGTACAAATCAAAACTCCTCACTTTCGACCTCAGCTGGATGACTCATGGAAGTGGAGTGAACTGATCATATGTGCTGGTTTGCTTTATGTTCAGCTCTAAGTAACATAGTAACATATCACATCAGCAGGATTCAGGTCTCGGATCTTATGTTGTTTGAATGGTAGTAGGGGGACCTTAGTGGTTTACACCTTGTTGTTTTGTAACACTATACAGTATAATCATGTGTAAATCATTTGCAACCGAACACACAAGGCAGTTGACAGGTGGATGTGAAGAGATAGTCAAACTCATCCCCAATCAACAGTTGATAATGAGTGCACATGGATTCAAAAAAACCTGAGCAGGTACGGATGGTTGGCGAGTGACGATTGTCAAGAGGTCAAAGTCTGGGGACAATGAACTGGTATCATCCATCTTTGTTTACATGATTGACCGTTATGTACCTTGAACCTGAGTGACCCTTGATCTGGAGCCCCAAACATGGCCTTTTCTTAGCAAAACACCGGTCAAATGGGTTCTAGGTATATAATACATATATATATATATACAGTAGTATATCGACACCAAACACATAGGGGCACCCGTACCTCTAGACACTTAGGGGCACCATAGCTGCTACCTGGTGCAGTGACAAGGACTGATTGCTTTTCCAGCTTTGCAAAGAGCGCAAGGCGCGCAGCCAATCGCTGTAAACTGAGGTACTACAGTAGATGGACCAAATATTCAAGCCCATGTATCAATAACTGTCGCCAACCCCTGGCCCCCAAAGGTCAATGTTGAACATAACTTGATTGAATTTGTGTTTCCTGGGTTTGATTTGTTGTTTCGTCCATTCGCCGAAACATTCTTGCAAGACCTCTAACATTGAGCTTTGGGGTAGAAGGGGTCCACGTGGTTGAAAGGTTTTGAATATTTCGTCCATCTACGGTAGTACTGAGGTTGGATTAATGGGGGTGGCTAACAAAAAACAAAAGAAGCTGCTTGGTTAAAGAGCCTTCTCTACGTACTCCGACATGGAACCCATAAGTGTGTTGCGTTTCTGTTGGTTTTGTATTCCAACTTGCCCTGGCCGCCATGCCATGCAACTGAGAAAACGAGATGAACTGGCCGGCATGGCCCTCGATCGACCCACTCGGGTCGATTCTCCGTGACAACGGACGGACATGGGGCGGTGACAGATCGTTCCCTCAATAGGAGGGCGGTGTATTTTAAGTGTCTTGGTGGTGAACTTATACTTAGATCGTCAATCACTGCAGCGGTGCAGAATTTGCTGCATTCACCGTGCGCGGAAGCACGGTTAAAGCCACAGACATGCCATGGACCCTGCTTTCCAAGCAACGAACTTTCTTCAAGACCACGGTCCTGGAGCGTTGTACTATCTGGCCCCAACCTGAAAAGGAAAGCGTATCATGTAAGGCTCAACCAGCTTTCAAACGCAAGCCACCGTTTACCAAGTGCATCGTTTAGTAAACAGAGTGTTCTGCTTCTTATCCGCTCTATGGATGCACATGCACTGAAAAGCAACTATGGCCAGCACAGCCCCATTTCCACCTGGGACCCCTTCTGCGAGTTAAACCCCCCGCCAGCAGGGTCTGGGCTTGACGTATCAGGCTGAGAACAAAAACACTATCCATTCCACTGTAAATCATCATAAACCCTCCAGGCCCACTCATTAAGTTATAAGATGCATTCTTCCGTACAAACTGGCTGGTCTCAAAGCTCCTAAACACCTGAGTTAAGTTCCGCAAAAGAGACACACCTTTTGGCGCCTTTTGGTGGAGGTCCAGGTATACCTCACACTGCATGTATTATGGCATATAACATATAACTACCTAAATTTGGAGCAGGTTCAGGGGTCAATGTAGGGGCCACTGCTTCAACATGCTTCAACCACTGGAGTTTCAACCAGTTTCAATGGCCGTATATCCAACCATGCACCATTTGCAACGCTCAGCTGTCAACCCCTTTTGAGAGGATTTGCATCTCCCAAACATGTGTAAATCCACGGTCCCGTGCACGACCGCTTCTCCAAGAAAGCACGACCAGTTCTACATGAAAGCTGGGACAATCTTCCCGCAAGCTCCGGTGTCAACTTCAAGCTGTTAATTCGAAACATGGCCACGTTTATAAGTGTTTTTCTCGGGTCATGGGTCATGACGGTCTTGTCATGTCATGTCCTAGAAAAGAAGTGTACGAACGAAGTCGGATCCTGGTAGAAACTTGCTGCACTCCATTGGATGATCCATTTCCGGACCATGCCTCGACCTTTCCCGCCCCCCGCTGCTCCTCGTCTCAATGACTTGTTCCTTGGTCTCCCGCACTTGCTGACGCCTCGTCAGCGGGAAATTGAACACACTTCGAACTTGGGTTTTCAGTTAGACTCAATTGCCACGTTGGGAAGGAAGGTGAGGGAACGGCAAGGTGCATGGGTCCGGTCACTTGTATTGTTGAACATAGTTTCCCTCGTTCTGCAGTTCACGAACGCGTGGCAGCTGACGGCGGCAAAGGAAAGGTTTAAGGGAGGAAAACATGCAACCACCATGAATCAAACCGAGCGGATGGGACAGCTTGTGCAAAAGTTTTTTCCGCAGGTACACAGATTGGCGTCCCAATCTGCTTCACGGAATGTCCACAGCTGTCTTCGTTGGCAGCAGAACTGTGGATTCCCTGCTGCCCCCTGCTGGAAAACCGTGGAAAACCCTTAGAACCAGGGTGCGACACACACAACAAGCCGTGATCGGCGCACAGATCAAGCGGTGGAAAAACGGATCTTTTTTCTCAAAAACCGCCTGCACGCATGCAGGTCATGCCCTTTTTGGGCGTATAGGTTGACCAGGGCTTCAGCCGCAGCGGTGGCCTGGGATGTGCAGTACTGAGCATGCGTAAGTTGATCGTCAGCTAAATGGCTGCGGTTGGAAAAATTAAAAATTGAGGAATGTAGCAATGCACAACACGAATGGATGTCAGAACTTTGGGTAGATATTCCGTCGCTTATAGCCAGGCGGCTCGAAAATCAGTAAATTCAGGGATAAAGTGAACAAACAGAAGGTCAGTTATAAACAAGCAGGGCCAATGAAATCCGGAATGGCTTCGGCGCCTCCTTTCGGAGGGTCACACCCAGTACCCACGTGGGAAGACTGAGCGGTCCACACTTCGAACTTGGGTTTTCAGTTAGACTCAATTGCCACGTTGGGAAGGAAGGTGAGGTGCATGGGTCCGATCACTTGTATTGTTGAACATAGTTTCCCTCGTTCTGCAGTTCACGAACGCGTGGCAGCTGACGGCGGCAAAGGAAAGGTTTAAGGGAGGAAAACATGCAACCACCATGAATCAAACCGAGCGGATGGGACAGCTTGTGCAAAAGTTTTTTTCAGCAGGTACACAGATTGGCGTCCCAATCTGCTTTACGGAATGTCCACAGCTGTCAGCAGAACTGTGGATTCCCTGCTGCCCCCTGCTGGAAAACCGTGGAAAACCCTTAGAACCAGGGTGCGACACACACACACACACACACACTCATGGATATGCGTACTGACTTGATTGCGGTGCCACACGCC